GAAGCCGCCAGGCAGCGCTGTGCTTGTCAGAATCATCCAAGCTCAGCCAGGCTCTTTGCAGGGGGAGAGCCTGTCAGCGCCCAGGAGGAATGTTTGAGGGGCTGCAGGGCCCTTGTAGGGACAGGGGGCTGACTAGAGGGAGGTCAGTTACGTAACAGGGTTCTCAGAGGAAAACACAGGCCGACAGCCATGGTCAGAATGAGCCCGCAGACATGGTGGGTGTTTCTTTTCTTACTGAAAGTTACTAGTGGTGCGATGCCGGCAGCTTCGGTCCTGTTTTAGGGCGGCACTGGGTGTTGGGGTCAGCTGGCACTGGGACCTTGCTGAAAGAGAATGTAAACGCAGTGAAATCTTACTCAAACGGACCATTGTGAGTTACATGAGAAGTTTGGTGTTTTTCTTGTTTCACATGTTCACAAACTCCCCAAACTGGTTTAAATCAGTGAGCAGCTGCCTCCCGCCCCTGCCTCTACCCCCGTGAGTGCTCTCTCCTGGTGACTGAAGATGCTGGCCTGCGGTGGGTGGAGTCTGCAGGGAGTGGCTGGAGGGCTGGGCATGGCTGTTCACCTGGCATGTGGCTAAGAAATGCCTGGGGGCGGGGGTCTTCTCCCCAGGCTGGGGACTGAATTCAGGGAAGGGGTGTTTGTTTTCCTTCCCCATTCCACTAAGACCCTTTCATCCTCAGAGCTGCAGGTGTTTCAGGTTGCTGGCACTGGGCAGGGCTAGAACTTGGTCTCCCTGAGACCTGCTCCTCTGTCCCCAGCTGGTGCGAAGGGTGGGGATAGTGGGGATGGTGGGGATGGGGAAGTGGGGAGGGTCTAGAAGAGCTGGTGGATGTGGAGGAGGTGGAAAAGGCCCTGCCTTCTTCTAATGGAGGAGATTAGGGCGGGAACTGATAGCTGGGAGAGAGTGACAGGTGATTCTGTAAGTTTCCCCTTGGCCTCAGCGGGGCTTGGGATGATGGTGGAGGAATCAGGAGATGAAGACAAAAGATTCCAAGAAGTGGGAAAGCATGGGGCTACAAGAGGAGGACCACTGGGTTGGAGACACTGTCCTTTCCTTGTCTCAGCCTCACCCTTTCCCCTTAACCTGTCTCAGCCTGTGGAGAAGGAGCACAGAGGACTCCGTACTGGTGCCCAGGGCTCCCTTGCGGGACACCGATGGTAAATGTGTTGGAGTCAATGGCAAGGAGAGGAGAAAGGGAGAGAAATTGTGTAACAAAAAAGAAATTTTTTTTTTTGGATTGTCATCAGCTTCCAGCGTCCCATGCAAGGGTGAGCCATCCATGTCCCCACTGTCCAGATTAATAATTGTCCAGATTTTCCCAGACTTGCGTCCATCATCCCCTCACCTTTTTCTTTTGTTTTGTCGCTTGGGTATTTTTAAAACAAATTCCAGGTATCATGTCACAAATATTTCAGGACGCAGCTCTAAAGTGGGCGCTTTCCGATACAACTATGCTGTCATCATTAATAATCGTACTCTTTTAATTCACAAAGGTGGTTGAACTTCAAGTTTTATTTTTAAATTCAAGTAATCTTTTTTAGGTAAACTTTTAGAAAAGAAGATAATCGACTTACATAAAAAAATTAGAATTGCTAGGGCTCAAAGATGAGAGTGTAGGAGGGAGATAACTTACAATTATGTATCCAGTGACTGTGAAAGAAATCGCAGGTACATCACAGCTCTGATTACTATCACAGCCCAGACCTCTCTGAGCTTACTCACTGCCTCCTCAGTGTGTCTACTTCAGGGTCCCAAAGAGCCCTGAGTGTCAAAGGTCGACCTCACGACCCCACTCCAATGGCCCCCAAGCTCTTTGGCTGGTGGCCCCAAATCTCGCTGAGCGGTGACACCATCCTCTGGTTCCACAAGCTGAACACGTCCGCGTCGTCTTTGATACCTCCTTTTACTTCAGTCCTACGTCCGGCCTGTCCCCAAGCCTCAAGTTCACCTCCTTTTCTCAGATACTGTGCACTTCCTGTGCATTAACACCAGTTTCGTCCAGGCCCCCAGGGTAGCACACCAGTGGTTCTGTTTGTCCCGTATTGACCTCCTTCCAGCCCGTCTGCACATCGCAGCTGGAGTGAGCTCTTGGGAACACAGATCTGGTTTTGTTCCACCCCTGCTTAAACGCTCTCTGTGGGTCAACGTGAAATAACTGATAACTAGGGGGGAGGGTATAGTATAGCTCAGTGGTAGAGTGCGTGCCTAGCAAGCACGAGGTCCTGGGTTCAATCCCCAGTACCCCCATTAAATAAATAAATAGATAAAAACCTAATTACCTCCCCCTACCAAAAAATGTAAGTGATAACTATCTGTGCTGTGATCTAATCAATATTTGATATATTTATATGTGTTTTTTTAAATACAACCGACTGGCACTAGGGTGCCAGCAGGAGTGCCCAGGCCCCACCTGGCTTCTAACCCAGCCTGTTCGTGTAGATTTTTGCAGCCCCGGGTTTTTGACGGTGCGTTTTCACTATTGCTTGTCCACCCTCCCCTCATGTTAAGTCCCAGCTATCGTGTGTTGAGAACTGTCTTGAAAATTGCAGTATTAATAATGGTTATACAGCTCTTTTAAAAACAAGACAGGCTGGTCATTGGTGACTGTCTGAAGCACGCGTGCAGAACGGTCTGTAAGCCACTGCCTAGTTCCATCCACAGGAATCGTGCACAAAGATGTGTGAGTGCCTTAAAAAGCGATTGCTGTGATGCTCAGTTCTTTGATCCTGGATTAAGATTAGGAGGTAGGCGTAAATTTCCCTTAAATCATGAGGTAGCGATGATAATAACCAATTTATTCCATGTTTGCTGCCGCTCTGCTATAACTTCAGATGTCTAAGTCAGGAAGGCATTATCTTAGTTTGTGCTTTAGAGAAATACCCTCATTTATACCTTCCTGATAGCAGCGTTTCTCCTAACAAGACCCCAATTTAAAAGGATCTTTAATCCTCACACATGATTTGAGAGAATTCCTGGCCCAGCTTAGAGAGAGATTTTGAAGAAGAAATAACGTTATTGTTTTATGATTTGTGTCTTAATAAAATAAAGACTGTTTGTTCTTAAATCCATTTTTTTGTATTTGCTTTTTCAAATTTGTCTTTAAGTCTGCAGAGAAGTTATTCTGAGCAGGCCATGATGAGCTTTTCATTTAATTTTAAAACAGTCCAGTTATTTAAATTCTATTCTGGGGAAGAGAGAATACTTATTTTTAACACTCAAAGATTAAAATGCTTACGGCACAAAACTGGACCCCGAAGCTGTCAGGCAGGGGCTGGGACGTGTGTCAGTGCTGGGGCAGAGCCCTGCACCTGAGCTGTCAGTGCCCAGAGCTGCTTCCAGACCAGTTGTTTTGAATCCACGAAACTGTGACATCGGATTAGTGTGCTTTGCAGAAGGCCTTTTCCTAAACAGCTCTATTTGTATACCTTGGGTAATAAGTACACAGGCACCGTTTGGGGTGGGAAGAGCCACTTCAGAGTGTGGTCCAGCCGTCCCCTCTCAGGCCGCAGCGCCATCCTTGCCAGACCCTGGGAGTACTTAGTACAAGCAGAGAGAGAGAAGAGCCCGCTGTTGGTCTGCGTGGGCTTAGCTCACGGAGAATATTTACCAGTGCCTAAAAGATCACTTTTTAACAGACGGCTTTTGTGTTTTGTTCTAGACTCAGAAGAAGTGGATGAACAGCTGGTGGCAGAAGTGGTTGCACAGTGTTCATCTGCGGCTTGTTCTAGTCCCCCAGAAAATGAGGGGGCTCAGCAAGCTACCAGCTGTTCCTCAGCCAAGGGTTTCAAAGAACAGCCTGAACCTGACATTAGCAAAATCTCAGTGGTGAGGCCATTTTCCATAGAAACCAAGAATTCCACGGATACCCCAGCAGCGCTTGGGACAAACGCAGGTTATGGCAGTGTCACCGCGGACTTAGGCGAGGCCGGGCCCTCCGGGGCACCAGACGCCCTCCAGGACGAGGCCATGACCGAGGGCACCAGGGGGCTCCCGCTGGAGGCGCCCGCAGAAGCTGGCCCGAAGGCGGGAAGCCCCTGTCCGGAGCTGGTACCCGGCAGGAGCAGGCTGAGGAAGCCCAAGCCCGTCCCCCTGAGGAAGAAGGCCATCGGCGGGGACTTCCTGGAGGGCCCGCACCTCACTGGGCCATCCGGCCAGCTCGGTCCTGATGGAGTGGATGGGAACCACAGCCCTTCCTCACGCAGACGTCCCCCCAAGGTTAAGGAAACTCCCGGCCCTCCTGGGAGTGACATCAACGACTCAGGGGTTGAGCTGCTGGAGGGGTCGCAGAGCTCCCCGCTGAAGCTGGAGTTTGAGTTCTCAGAAGATGTGGCAAGTGAAGAGGCCAGGAAAGCCCTTCCCAGGAGACTGGGCAGGAAAGCGGGGAGCAGACTGACTCCCCAGGCCCAGAAAGATGGTGCCAGCGTGGCAGGAGGAGCAGAGCCGCCTCCCGGCCCGGCCGCGGACGGTGGTCCTCTCCCCCGAGCATCTTCCACGCTGGACCCCGGGCCCTGGGAGAGCCCCACGTCCAGTCCTCTTGGGGGCCACTCCGCCCTGCAGCACTCCCCCCTGCTCTCCTCTAAGGGCTCCTACCGCTTCGACCCAGATAACTTTGACGAATCCATGGATCCCTTTAAACCCACCATGACTCTCACGGGCAGCGACTTTTGCTCTCCCGCCGGTAGTCATGTTCATGAAATCTTAGAATCACCCAAGAAGGCCAAGTCGCGTTTAATAACGTGAGTGACAGTGGGTGTGGGTGCTATGTTCCGTGTCCTCTCTGTGAGTTTGGTGGCCACGGCTTTTGGTTTTGGTGACCTGAAGCTCTCTTTGAAGGTGCCCCAGGCAGACTCAAAGCTAGTAGCTTCATACTACAGTGATCACTTTTTTACCTAAGTCTGGTGTGGAATCAGAAATACCGGGGTCTCCTTTTTGGATGTCTACCATGCTTCTGAGTCCTCAGCTTACTCAGCTGAGTCCTTACCCCTATTATATCCCCCACCCCGAGTTCTTCCTGTTTTTAAACAAGGGGGAAAAAAAAGGGTACTTTTTTCCTGTTTAAAAAAAAAAAGTTGTGAGACAGGCAGGTAGAGATTTGGTGGTTTTCAGAAATCCTATCTGAGCTGTCAGGATCATTTTATCTACAGAATACAAGTGTCATTGCTAGCCACCGTCTTCAGATTGTCTATAGACGAAACAAAAGTTCCAAGCCTGCAGATTAACCTATAACACGTGGGAAAGGGTCTTACAGAAGTCTTCTCACTTAAACAGAAAGCTGTGATTTTTTGTTGTTGTTGGAAACAAACCTACCTCTAAACGGTGATGAGAATTCTCATGTCTCCTTATAGAGCTTTTGGCTCTATGAGGAAGGAGGGGAGTTTCCAAAACGAATCATGACTGTTTTCAACAATTGCCTAAATCTGACTGACTTAGTCTGTTAGTCTTTTGCTGTATGAGGCCTCTCCCCACCACCACCTCCCTTCTCCTGGGAAAACTGGGGCCACTTTTGCAAGATCCTTAGAATTCTCAGAGTGACGACCCTCCGGCTGTAGTCCCTTCAGTTTCAGTTTGTCACACAGTTGCCATATCCTAAAACTTGAGTCACTGACTGTCTTCCTTTGTGGCCCTGTGACGTTTTACTAAACAGTCAGATATAAAGAAGGGCCAGTGACACGGAGGATGAACTGTGAAAAGCAAGGCTGAGAAGAAGCACCGGGTTTCTAGTTGTTACCACAGGTCAGTCTGGGAGATGATTTTCAGCATGACTGTGACTTAAAGGAAAACGCCAGGTGGCGTGGCGTGGTGGATCGACACCAGAGAAGGAGGTTGAAAGAGGCATGAGCAATGTGGGAGTCAGTTCTCTAGCACCCCCAGGATGCTCCCCAGAATTGTCAGGGGCGTGGACTGTCACTGGTGGTTCTCGCTCTGTTCTTGGATTGTGTATACAGATGAGCACTTAAGTGGTTGCTGGGAAATATTGTCGATCAGGTGTTTTTAAAGTGCCCGTCGGTGGCTCAGGTTAGTTACCTGTGTCTAGACAGCGCCCCAGGCATGCAATGGCCAGGTCTTTGCCCGGGTGTTTCCTAACGTGGGGTCCCCTAATTATGGGCGGCCCGGCCTGGCGGGAGTGGTAAGGAATCATTGGGAGCCTCCCTTTCAGCTGCTTGTTGAAGATGTCTGGCCAGCGCATTCATGTGACATGTGACCAGATCAGGGCCCAAGAGAGGGACACTTACCCTACACCTTGTTTTCAGCAGCAAGAAGCGTCCTCTCTCAGTGCTGCCACCCTCACCTGCTGCATTTTCCTCCGGTTCTCTTTTTGATGAATGAACTTCCTGCGCTAAAATACCTTATAGATTTTTTTTAAAAACTCTTATGCAACGAAAGCTCTTGTCTCCTGGTTCTTTCTGCAGGAGAAGGGTGCTCCACCCCTAGTGTAACTCTAGGGTTTTGTTTGGCAAATCTTTTCATTGTAGGAGAGATTGGAAATATACAGATGGAGGTAGACTCCAGTGGGGAGTTAGAAGTTCTGGTCACCGGGTACTCGTGTGACTTCTTAAAAGATGTGTATAGTAGGCATTTCAGATCCTTCCTCTGTAAAATAGAGACATCAGCCTATGACTGGGATTTTGTGGACCAAATAGGATAAGTTATGGAAAATCATTTTAAGTGTCTTAGTGATATGCACCTACCAGAGACATAAGCAGATACATTTTCAATTATATTCTCACTCCTTCATTGATTGCCTTTAATCAGGATGATTCGACATCTGAGTAAACATACTCGGCAGTAACGTTTTTTTTTTGAGATTTACAAATACTTGAGGGTTTACTTTTCATCGATAAATTTGACTACGTGGCATTTCCGAGTGTTTCTCCCACTCTCTCACTCCGGATAATCATTCACTCACTGGTGATAACGTACATGGGTGTGAGATTTTAAATTTGTATCCCACCTCATAGAAAGAACTTTGCAGCCTTTACATCTGCCAGACTAGAGATGAATATTCCAGGCTTTACATGATTTTTTTTTTCTCCATCTGTCTGTCTCTTTCCCGTCTCTAATTTTGTTGGTGCATCAGGACTACTGAGCAAGTGAAATTTCTCTGTTTTCTGTTGTAAGTACTCCTGCTGTTCCTGTTTCTCCCTGGGACCATTGGCAGTTCCTCCCTCGCCCTCCCTGGACCGTCTCTCCATAGCATGTTGGCTTTCCTTTCTGAGTTTGACCTTCTGGTGATTTTTTTTTCTTTTTTTCTTTTTTTTGCATTTCATTTGCCCTTCCATGAGTCAGCTTAGCCTTGCAGTCGATAACCTAATGGAGTGGAACTGGGCCCTCCCACCTTGGGTGTGAGAGCCTGCGTTCCTGGCTTGGCACGCCCCGTGTGGCGCTTTGATGCTGCGCGCTGGCTTGGTCCCACGATCATCCATCCCCACGGTGGTTTGAGGAACTTCTCTGCTGTGGAGCATCAGAAATAATCGACTCTTTTGATAGGGTCTTCTGCTGCCTTGGTGCGGGGGGATGCGTTTTACCGAGTCAGCTCAACTCAAGTTTGATGTCAGGAGTAGCGCTCAGGCATCGTGAGGGAAAACCAGGTGGTGGTTCACACTCTCGTGATGTGTGTGCTGGTCTGTTCTTTGCCCCCCAGAGCGAGAAAAAATTGCTCTTTTTCTTTTCTTTTTTCTTTTCTTTTCTTTTCTCTTTTCTTTTTTCTTTTCTTTTCTTTTCTTTTCTTTTCTTTTCTTTTCTTTTCTTTTTTCTTTTCTTTTCTTTTCTTTTCTTTTCTCTTTTTGATCAGAGTGGTGGTACTGGAAATTTTAAGTATGTTGAAACAGACCAGAATCTGAACCAGTCTTCGGATCACAAATTAGGTGCTAGTTTAAACACAGCAGGCGGTTTGAGCTTCCCCAGTTCCGGCCGTGACGTTCATTTTCCATCTTACTACTTAATAGGAACGGTAACAGTTTGCTCAGAAATTTTTATTTTTACACGCTCTGTTGCCCACAGCCCTTCTCCGTGAGCACACAGGTCTGGAGCCGTCTCACCAGACTTCTGTGGCTGGTAGCATAATAAAGAATTTTCAAAGACCGTGGTCCAGCGTGGTAATTCTAACAGTGACTGTCAGAGCCCAGTGAGCGCGGATCAGACGATGCAAATGTCTCCCTGAGCCTAGGCTGCTCTCGAAAGAGCCATTGGTGACATGTCATTAAAACCCGTAGGGGCCCCCGAGGGCTGGTGTTCAGCCTCCCGAGATGCGAGTGTTCCCGTCTCTCACGCGTAGACGTGCGCCTCGTGCAGGGCTGTATGCTTGGCTTCTGTCTGCACACACCGCTGTCTGCTCCATCCCGCAGCTCGGACGTGCTCAGCGTGATTCCAAACCGGCCTGGTGTTCTCTTTGTCTCTCCCCAGGAGTGGCTGTAAGGTGAAGAAATACGAAGCTCAGTCTCTGGCTTTGGACGGCTGTTCTCAGGTAAGTCTGTGCCTGTCCCCACAATGTCTCCTGGACCAGCCTTCCCCACCGGGGCGGTGATTAAGGAAGATCTTCCAGTGGGGATCTGAGTAACTCAGCTTTAAGTAAACCAGCTTCCAGATCCTTAACTTCCAAAACTGCTTCAAGAAGGCCTCTGGAGACAAGGGAACCGTTCCTTCAGTTACGTGCATTTCTTTGGGGATAACTTTTTGATGGAACTAGGGAGGAAATACGAATTCAGAGAGGAAAGAGAATGACGTAAATTTCTGACATTAAAGGGCTTGTTGATGTTCGATTTTAGGTAGGTCATTAAGTGTCAAATCACTAGATTCACTGGGTTGAACTTAAAAGCAAAGTCAGTATTTAGAATATAACAGAATTTTTTTCCTTTCTCTTATTTTGTGTCTATAAGAGGATGGATGTTTTGTAAACTTACTGTGATAATTTCATGATGTATGTATATCAGACGATTATGCAGTACATCTTAAAGGTGTGCAGAGCTGTATGTCAATTTTATCAATAAAACTGGAAGGAAAAGTAGACAAGTCAAGAAATAATATACAGCAGGTAGTATGTTCTTGGACTATTTCAACTCATGCTGAAAGCTATTTAGATGTCACCTGAAAATGCACTGGGGTACATAAATTTTCCCCCAAAATGTAGGCACCATGTACGCAAAATATATGAAAACCACTGCCTTTAACCACTTCAACGTCTTGCTTGTAAATTTAGACTAGAAAAGCTCCATTTTTCATTTCTCGGGTTTGTGGTGCACAAGCCTGGTTCCAGAAAGCACGGCCGCTCATGGTTGAGAGGTTTGTGTCCTGGTTCACGGTCAGCTCACTGAACCCCCGTGGGGGGTGGTCCTGAGACGTCACTCCCCCCACCGTTTGCCCTCCTACACGGTAGCATCCTATCTGTCGCCTTCCCCAGGATGAAGGTGTGGTGACCTCCCAGCTTTCAGACATCTCCCACCGGGACGGCCACGCCACCGATGAGGAGAAGCTGGCGTCCACAACATCGGGTCAGAAACCCGCGGGGCCCGAGGGGAAAGGTGAGCCAGAGGATGGCCCGGAGTACTTTGAATGTTCCAATGTTCCCGTGTCTGCCGTAAGTCGCACATTCGCATCCTCAGAAGCAGGTATGGAAGCAGATCTTCATCTTTCTTACTTACGTAAGCGTGGAAATGCCTGAGAGCCCAGGGCAGGAGACGCCTTAGGGAGGTCAGAGAACTGGGCCCCTCGGGGTAGGTTTAGGTTTAGGTGGCTGGTCTATGCTTTGCCTCTTGGTCTGGAGAAGAGACGCAAAAGTGTGTCCCGTGGAAGCTCCAGGGACAGACGGACAAGTGTGGCAGGATGCGCAGAGACACTGGTGTGTCAGACTGCTTGAACTGTGTAGCAGTTACTTTAGTCAGGCTGCGTCTTACAGTGCAGTGTCCCGTAACCACGTTGTGATCAGTGGGCTCCTTGTTTCACGTCTAGAAATAACAATAACCAGCAGGTGTGGTTACTTACCGCATGCAGGCACTGCTCCAAGTGCTTTACGTGTGTTCACTCATTTCTCCTCACGGGGTAGTGTTCTCCCCGTTTTTCAGAGAGGAGAGGGAGACAGAGGTTAAGTGGCTTGGCCGAGGTCTCTTGTCTAGTAAGCGGTGGGACTAGGATTCTTTAGGATTCAGGTTCTTCACAGCAGTCTGGTTCCACGGTCTTCTGACCACAAGGCTAACTTGTAACGAGATGGTTTTCATTCCACTGGACTGTTACCAGTTTTTTTGCTCACAGACGTGGTGGATTGAAATGGACCAGTGCCCTACAAAATTCTTCTTCATGGTCTTTTTTTAACAGAGGTGCTGGGGATTGAAGCTCATGCATGCTAAGCACATACTCTACCACTGAGCTGAACACCCCCCAACCTCCTTCATGTTCTGGGCCAACCTGGGCTGAAATTTCTGGCTGTGTTCCTCTTTAGAACGTTTCAGATCCAAAGCCCTTTTCCAGATCCCACATCGTATCTGTGGCCTTAACCTTGACTCGTGAAATGTTTAGCACCATGTTCTGACTACATTAAAGGTCATTAAAGACTCAGGTCTTCAGCAGTATAATTTAATTTGGAGCTTTTATACTTAGAATTCTAAAAATCATGATCTGTCATCAAACCAGGGAAGCAGGTGGAAATCTGGACTTCGTGAGAGTTCTGTCCCCAGCTCCCCGCCAACCCCAGGGCTGTTTCCCGTCTATAAAGTAAACGTGTCGGGCACTGTTCCAGACTTCTTCCCTGGCCTCTTTCTGCTCTGACACTTTTTCCCCAAAGACCCCCGTTTGCCATTTCCTGTTCTGTCTCTTTACCCCAGTTAACGTAGGCTAGCCCTGAGTACTCTTATACCTACACTTATTTCTTATACATGAAATACCTTTCTTTGCCGTTTCCTATGGAAATTCTGCCTGTCCTTGCAGGTCTATCTCAAAAGTGTCACGTGGCTCCCACAGAATTTCTTCTTATGTTGCCGTTCAGTGTATTAGTTACAGAAGGTACCTTTGATAAACTTCTTTAGGTTAAGGACTATGAGTGATTCATCTTCAAATTTCCTCTGATGCAGGTGCACGGTCACGTTCGTTGAATAATATTCTTCCTCACTAGGAGGAAATCCCTTTGGCAGAAATCTTTGGAGCTGGGGTTCTACATACAGAACAGCTACTGTCAACGCTGTTCGTAACTGACCAGCCATAACGTGGGGAGGTGGTGGCGGGGGTCTGTGTCCTGGGAGAGTTACCTTCGAGCGAGGTCTCGATAGATACGGACAGAGAGGTACCCCGGGGAGATCTCTCACAGGGGTGGGAAGGAACCTGTCTTGTAGGTAAAATGCCCAGTAACTCTCCATGAGTTCAGGGCAAGTGGGAACACCAGGTCGTCCTGAAAATTTGGGGCTGGATCCTGTTGGTATAGGGGAGCCATTGAAGGTTTTTAAATGGAGTAGTGATGGTCACATTTGTGTTTTAAATAATGCACTATTGACAGGACACTAAAAGAGTAATTTGTTATCACGTGTACAGGATTGTAGCTTTAATGTTATGTGTGCTGTTCCATATTTAAAATTTTTCTTTGGTAAATACATGTGTCCTTTAATTAGAAAAAGCATTATGTTGTGTGTGTGTGTTTTTTTTTAATGTTGACCCTGCTGGTAGAGGCCAGGAGACCAGTCTGAAGGGTGTGGGAAGAATAATGAATTTCGTTTCCAGGCACCGCCATCTAGAGCTTATTGTTTTATCTGCTGTGTTAAGTCGATTGAGGGTGCCTTTCCGGGCTGGAATTTAGATTCACTCCAGCTTGGTAACAATAGCTCTCAGTGTTAGGGGTTAGGACAACTCCCTTGTAAAATTTCTCATGGACACAAGGGGGCAGCCTTGTCGCTCTTTCCACCTGAAGACCTGGTTCCCTTTATGGAGGACCGGCCACGAGCTCCTCTCTCCGGGGCGTTTTGGACCTTTAACAGCAGTCAGCAACATGCAGTGCGCCCTCAGGACCCCTGAGATGTTGGTGTCGGGTTCACAGACGTCCCTCTGGGCCTTCACTGGGGTTTCCCAGAGTCTGTCACTGGGAGAGGACAGCACCAACTTCTCAGGGTGACTGTAACCATGACTCTCTGTGTTTCAGGCATCGAGAAAGACACGTGCCAGAAGATGGAGAAGGAAGGACCTGCGGGGCCCGTGAGTTCCTCCACTTCGGGGGCAGGGCGGGCGGGGCGCAGGGTGTTTCAGCGTTTGTTCTGAAGCCCGTGTTAATTCCCATAAATAAATCCTAGTCAGTGTTTGGTGACAGGAGTGAGATACAAACAGAGCACAATTTCTTCCGGTCCTGAGACGTCCTGCAGTGTCACCACCAGCACTTGGCTGTGGCTGGACATCCTGAGATGTCCCCTCAGTGTAAAGTTCAACCAGCTTCTGAAGGCTTTTAGTGCAAAAAAGAAGGGAAAACAAAATGTCTAACTTTTTACATTGATTACACAGTGAGATGATGACACCTTGGAAATGCTGGGTCCACGAAACTATATCAGTAAAATTTAATTTCACTTGTTTCTTTTTGCTCTTTAAATGCGGCCACTGGAAAGGTTTTAATTACACATGGCTTACATTGCACTTCTTTTGAGTGGTGCTGGTGGGAGATACAGAAAGGAAGCCAACGTTATGTTGGTTGTGGACGTTACACCGGGATGTGTCCCTGGGGCTGTGGGCACCAGGGCTGACCAGCTCTGTGTCAGGAAGGCTGGACTTGAGCTGATTGAAAACAGTTTTTTAAAACCTTTAGGCTTCCAAAAATAATATGAGGAATTCTTGTAAATCTTGCATGCATCCTCCCCAAATGTTAACATTTTCTATAATCACAGTGCAGTTATCAAAATCAGTTAACAGTGATACAGTATTATTATCCGATCTGTAAACTATACTCAGGTCTTATCAGTTGCCCCAGGAATGCCCTTTTTCTGGTGCAGACCCCACACTGCACTCAGTTCCCGTGTTCTCAGGCCCCTTTAATCCGTGACAGTTCCTCAGTCTGTATCCTTCTGGACCTTGACACTTTCCAAGAGCGCCGGTCAGTTATTTTGTAGAGTATCTTTCAGTTTGCGTCCGTCCAGTGTTTCCTCACGATTAAATTCAGTTTATACATTCTTGGCACAGATAGATCAGAAGTGACCTCGTGGATATCAGTGTGTCCCATGACGGGTGGAATTAGCTTTGATCCTGTGGTTGAGGTGGTATCTTCTAGGTCCCTCCTTTTGAACTAAGTTTTAAAGGAAGAATGAGGGTTTCGGGGCAGATGCGGTAACAGGGGGCTCCAGGCAGGAGGGTGGTTCTTCCAACAACGCGGGGTGAGAAGGGGGGTGGACTTCATACGGAGCTGTAAGGATGGGTACTCTCCTGTGACTGGAGAGCCCCGTGCTCATGGGAGGCGAGGGCCAGGCCATCGGGGCCCTGGAGACGTCGTGTGTGGAGGGCTGGAATTCACCGTGGAGGCACCGGTCACCATCGCCGGGTTTCAGGAGGAGCATCGTGGTCGGCGGTCGTTTGGGGGAGGGGGCGGGGGCCGAGCCTTGGCAGGTGGAACCATCGCTGCTCGGTGGCTCAGCAGGATACGCGGTGGCTGGGGTGGAGGTGGCAATCAGAGAAAGCCCCTGAAGGCCACTCAAGGCTTCTGCCCTGAACATCCAAGTGGTCAGTGTCAGCTGAGGACCAAGCCCATGGGGCCTCCCTCAGCAAGTGGCACCACTGTCCATCTCATTGTCTACCCCTCACTCTGGGGTCATCCTGGACTCCTCCTTTCCTTTACTCCCATGGGCAAGGTCTGTGGCTTCTGTGTCCAGAAACCGTAAGTTGTAAATCCATCTACTTCTGCTAAGCCCGTGGTACCACGACCACCACTGAATACGGTGACAGCGTCCTAAGGAGTTTCCCTGTTTCCAAGGCTAATCTCGTGTCTTTTTCCATAAGCCAGGATCATTCCTCTTGGTTTAAACCCCTTCGGTGGCTTCCCTTGTCTTTAGACGAAGCTCAGACCCTCCCTGTGGCCGACGTGACTTCTGCAGAGACCTGGCCGCGCTCCCCGCCCCGAGCACCTGACTCTTGCCCTCTGAGCAGGGCTGGCTCGGTTCTGCTGACCTGCCCCCTCGGGTTGCCTTCTGTCTGGCCGTCCTCGCAGGACCGCAGTGCTCGCTGCTGTCCCTTGGCACCTGCCACAGTAAACTGCTGACGCCGGAGGTAGTAAATCAGGAATACAGAAGGAGAGGGGTGTGTGGAAGGTCATTTGTAGACCTGGGACTGTGAGACGCCTGTAGGACCAGGTTCTAAGTTCACGTCCCCGGAGGCAGCTTGGAGTCCAGAGCATCGGCTCAAGAAAGGTCTGGGTTGACATAGGTAGACCTGAGGGCCCTGGGGACATGGGACAGCGGTAGCTGTACGATCAGATGATGTTGTGATCGAAACAGTCTGCCTTGATCCACAGTAAAACTACATGTTGCGTCTTGACTAATAGACCATGTGCGGCATCTCAATACAGGCATTTGTGTATTGATAAAACAGATTGTGTATTGATAAAATGGAATGCAATCTACCTTTCTCCCTGTGATTCCCTTTAATTTTCTTTCTCTGTTATAGTTTGTTTTTTTCATGCGCATTCCTTGTCCCAGTACCTGTTTTCGTGACTCACTGTTAGGCCGTGACCCACGGGGTTTCCCTGGAGGATGTGGAGGCAGAGGGCGGGGTGGGAGTCGTGTACACAGAGATCGGGGACCCCGAGCGTTAGCCCCTCATGGGGACCTCACACTGCAGTGGTGGTTATTTCTGGACAGAATCATCCTTCCGGGAGCCTGGTCACCTCATCCCAGCGCAGCCTCTGTGACTGATGGCACAGTCCCCTTGGGGGCTCCGAATGCCTCCCTTCTGCACGTGGTGAAGTGTCCCCTCATCTGGGGGGGTGCCTGCGGTCCCCCCACGAGAGGATGAGACTCCACCCTCCGCCCCATACACTCCCTGGTTGTGCACGGTGACCAGTTCCTTTTTGACATGTTCTAACTCCTCAGGGAGCACTTTCTAGTCTGTTCCATGTGTAAAAGTGGCAAAAGGGTGGTTGAAGAAGGGCATGGCGAGTGGGCCGAGCATTGTTGGTCTGCGTGGCTGCAGATTCAGGAGGTTCCCTGAGTTCTTGAAACACGGTTCAAGTTGCAGATTCCCCACTGATCCTCCTAAGGTTAGCCACGCCCACCGCCTCTTCCGAGGAATTGCGAGGATGAAAGGCTGATAAGGGGAAAGGCTGAGCCCTGAAGCCTGGGCCACTGTGAGGGTGACTGGGAAGCGGGGGAAGAGAGAGAAAAGGGGGAGACCTGTCTCAGGCGCCCGCAGCCCGAGAATGTACACTGGGTTGTGATCTTTGACCAGCAACCCAACCCCAGCTGAACTTGTGGGAATAAATAATTTCTACTCCCTTAGAATGTTGCATAAACGTTGCATAAAGAAATTGCAATATTCAAAACGCTGAATAAAGGAATCCGTTTAATCTAGCACTTACCTGTTTAAGCCTCCCGGGGGGTTGATTCGAAGTGCATTCGTGTTGTAGCCTCGTACCCAGTGGTGGGGGGGCAGCCAGGGTGAAGTAACCAAGGCCTGGCCTGACGAGGGACACTCAGCGGGGGCCTTAAGTCTCATCTTGCTTTTCAGCCCTTGATCTGCAGCATTTTTCACTGAGCAATCAATTTGTGTATTTATTTTTAAAGAATTCTTGAAAGTTGTTAGAAGTTGAGTTCACTTGGCTTTTCCAGTGTGTCTATTTGAGGAAGGTGGTGGGGGTGGCGCTGCTCTAACAGGTTCAAGGACAGATGGGGTGAGCTTGGCAGATCAGGGATTCTGAGCGTCTCATCCGAGGAGGTGAGCAGAGAATTAATTACTTGGTAGCATCTGTGCTCACCATGAACAGCCAAGACTCTCCTGCGTCCCTGTAGACAAGTCTTTGTGGGTCCTCAGTGCTGAATGCTTTGTGGGTCAGGGAGAAGGACTGGGGGACATGAAACAGGATGCTTTTGGAAGGATGTGATTCATTCAGCATCTTTGTTAAGCACGTACCAGTTTGTCCATCCCAGGAAAATCGCCAGGCCAGTTTTTTGTGATGGTAGATTCAGTGGGCTTTCTACGTTGTTTGATAAACTGTATTAAAGGACTGAGGAATGGAAAAAGCTAAATCCTAAAGGACTGGAAAAGGCGGCTGAAATTGGCCACGGCCATAAATTCCTCGTAAGAGCCATTGCATTTTGAGCTGTGCGTCTCGTGGGCGTGTGGCCAGGCAGAGCCCACCCGTCTGGCTGTGTTTGCCTCCGTGCAGGGTCTGATCTTCAACTGAGAACGCTGCCTCCTTCAGACACCTCGTTTGTTAGAGTGAAGTTGTTCAACAGGCAGGCGACTGAATTCACTTGTCCCCCCGCAGATGAATGAGATGCGCAACTCTAGACAAGACAGCATTTTCCTTACTAGGAAAACTTGGCTTATTTCCCAAGTAACATGAGGGTCACGGAAGGCACAGGGCGAGTTTCCCAGAGCTGACTTGACCTGGGGATTCCGATTTAGAATAAGAAAAACAAAAGGCTGATTTAAAATGTATTAATTTAGAATCAGAAGTCACAAGGTGAACCCAACGTGTGGGCTTGGCCTAATGCAATATTGCCCTGTAGGCAAGTTACAGGGAAACAAGATTATGGGATGTGCTTTCTTGATAAGAAAAAGGTTAAAGTGATGACTGGGCATGTTGATTACAGCGTGATCCCATCATTTCTGGGTCAGGAAACCCGGGGCACCTTCACTAGGTGCCCCTGACTCAGGGTCAGTCACGGCCTGTGATCAAGGTGTAGACCAGGGCTGCGGTCACTCCAGGCTCCCTCTGGGGCAGATCTGAGACAAGAAGGAAGGGGACAGGGCACAGCCACTCCAGGAATGATAGCAGTTAGCACCAAAATGGTGGGAGATTTGACTCCCAATAGACTTTGAGCTTCTTTGTAGGCTCATTGTAGTACATTAGCATGATAAATAGCATGCCCACAGGTGCCCTGATAGGCTGAAAGGTCAAAAACTGGGCAGTGGGCAACTTCCTGGGAATCCCAGCCCCTTCCCCAGGGTAGTTGGAATGGTTCTCCCTCTTGCTGGTGTGTGAAGCTACCGAGCCCATAAAAACTAGCGACACTGCGCCTCTTGGCCACCTCCCTAGCTCTCTCTTCTCATCTTCGTAGACGGCTCGCACTCTGGCTGTGGAGTGTGTGTCCACTTTTGCTTTAACCTGAGCATCACAACCCCTACACCTCGTGGCCTTTCTCTCGCCTTCTGAAACAGCCTACACTCTATGTAGTATGTGTCTCTCTAAATAGATCGACCTTTACTCAACTGTGGCTCGCTCTTTAATTCTTCCCTGCATGAAGCCAAGGACTCACACTTGGCAGGGCACATCCCGGGGGCTCAGCTGAGACCTGGGACACGGCCATCCCCTCACTCTACATTTGTTTCTCCTGTATCAGATCCGCCTCCAAGATCACTCCTGTGGTTGTTGTTAGAGGTGACCATTCCCTACCACGTGCTTCCATACAGCGCCTCACAGCTGAGCCTCTCTAAACTGGTGACATCTCGTGACTGTATGTCTTGTGTTCTTTAGAATAGAGCCACCAGGTCCAGCCTCACTCAAGGGCAGGAGACACATGAGAGGATTGATACCAGGAGGTGGGGTGGTTGGAGCCTTTCGGGAGGCTGCCGACCACAAGCGGCTTCTGGCTCTAGTGATGGAAATCCTCTACGGTAGAGAGTGCTTCTGGGACCTGGGCTTCTGTCCGCGTGGTGCCCTCCCCCGGATGCAGCTGGATTGCGCAATGCCGGCTTGTGGCTTTTGCATTTTCCTTTTCTGTGCCCTAAGCCAGGGTTTTCCCTACTGGACCCTGGGATGAGGGCTGTGAAGCTGTGTGCAAAAATAACATGGTTTTGAGCATTTTCTAGAGAGTGGGTGAGTCCCTAACAACCCTGTGGGTCAACGTGGGTTGACCTTGGACTTCCTTTTCAAGCTTGATTCGAACAAGACACCAGAGAACCTAATTGATCATAGTCGATAACTAATTGATTGGATGTGCTGACGCGTAAAGTTAAGGTTATTCCCTAATCCTAACTCTAATAATTTTTTTTAAAAAAAAGAAAGAGAAGATTCCCTTTGGCTGGCATCTTGGATGTTATTAGATCAGCTTTTTCCCCATTTGTACAACAAAAAGTAACCCTCCAAAAATGCTTTTTGGGAAGAAAAATGGTACAAAGTCCATGTTCTTGTGAAAAACAAAATCCTAACCGAACGTGGCTCTCTGGAACCTGCATTTACAACAGAATCAAGGTGACACATCCCAGGCTGCTGAGAGGGAATTGAAAAC